TTGTCGCTCGTATATTGAAAATGCTGCTGATGTTCTCTCTCACGACTTATAGGAACATATTCTCTTTTCCTTCAGAATGATGAAAATCTTTGTTTTAGTTCTCTGTGCAAGTTTGCAACTTGGCAGTGCAGGTATGAATTTTAATCATCACTGAGTATTTCGACTGTTTTGTTTGTTGATATGTAATAAGAGTGGAATGCATGTAAGGTTCACTATTGAGTGAACTTCACTCAGCCTTTCCCAGGAAGTGGTCATCATTTACGTAATCCTCATCACATGACCTTATCAAAGCTTTCATGTTCTAAGGGTTAATGGCTTGGGCCTCGAATACATCCCCCTCCCCCCCTCCTCCACCCCGGCTCCTCGAGACGAAAAAAAGCCCCGTTAGAACAGGGTTCAGCGCCGAACATTTTTTGGCGTCATTTCTACAGTACAGAGTCTAGACCGCTGCCAAAATTTAGGGGAAACAGACAGAGATATGCGATTCCGATGACCAAGCTCCTGAAGCTCCAAACGACGTGAAAGATGCTAATACGTCCTTATTGTTTCAGATCAGAAAGGGGGTTATCGGTTTTCGACACTTATGAACCGTTTCAGATCTAAATCGTATTATTCTGGCAAACAGCTCCTATCTTTTTCTATAGAAGAATGATTTTTTTTAACCAATTGTGTATAGATCTCGTATTATAGCACTGGACGAGCTATCACCAAAACTAAGGAGAGTACAGTGAATATATAATTATCGACAAGTGCCAGAAACCAAACGTCATATGGGCTGGAAAGAAATCAAAGTAAGCTCAATTAATGTCTACACAGGCTCGATAGCACAGAGAAGTTTGTCAAATTAAACCACGAATTATCCAGTTAAGCATTAAAGGAGGCCAAAGCAACTTAAGCATTTTCTTTATTTTTTGTTAGCTTTGAAGAAAAAGACTATTATCGTGTCGTTTGAGTAGGACAGCTCGGTTTCAACTGCCCCTCGTACTGCAAGCGCCGCCCCCGTATCCAAGGAGTGGGGTATGCCAACAAACCACCAAGCGCATCGCGCCTTCGGTGCTCGATTAACATTGTCTTCGATGCTTCAGTAGTCCATGGAAAATTCGCGCTACGGCCCTGAAAGTTGCTAATACGTCTTTGTTATTTCAGACATTTTTGACTCCGTTAACATGACATCAATTGGATGTTTCGAAGACATATCGTGGTCACGGCCGATCCCCAGCCTTGAGGGACAAGACCCGCGTCTGGAGGGAGTGAACTACAAACGGAGGACAGATGCAATAGAAAAGTGTGCATTTGTAGCTAAGCAACGCGGATACAAAGTYTTTGCTCTTCAAGACGGCGGCATGTGCTTAAGCAGTTCCACCGCACACAAGACCTTTCAGAGATATGGCACGTCAAGTAAGTGCAAAAGCGATGGAAGAGGAGGGAAGGAAGCAAATCATGTTTACGTTATTGGAGGAATCAAGGGTATGACCACTTTGTTTATTTTTTATTTATAAAAGTAAATGAAACCTATTAAACAATGAAGGGGAGGAAGCCACATAGAACGACAACAATTTTCTTTCAAGACAATGCGATATATATTAAGAGGCCGCGGAGCTGCCGTTAATAACAGCGAGCTAAATAACCTTTCTATTTATAAGAGAATGACGTAAATAGTTTTGTAGATAAGTGATTTTATTTCTGATAGTGGCTCCGAATACTTATCATCTTCTCCTGTTTGCTTGGCATAGTATCAGCCCAATGGTGTAAAAGACAAAGAATGTAAAACTCCCTATGATTCTTTTTTTATCGAAACGCCGTCATGAACGTTCTATGATAATTTTTTCGTCTAATTGACAAAGCACAAGAAAACTAAGTAAGTTTTAGGATTTTATGATGAAGTAGTCATAGCCGCCTTATTTCATAATCAGTTTTAATGTGTTTCTGAACCCCTTAGAAAAATTTTTTTTAAAATTTAGTTATTTATTGAAATTCCCAATTTATTTTTCGAAAAGGCAAAAATGAACCCCAATGAAAAGATTTTCCGAGCAATTTTCAAATTTTTATCGCGGACAGGTTAAGGAGCGCTCTCATCTCTGGTAACTATAGCAACTAATTTTTTTTGCCCCTCGGCAGGAATCCTTTTAGCTCGTCACTCATTACCAACTCGTGATAAACCTGTAAAGGCTGATTTGACAGTGGCGAGCAGATCAATAATTTGCCGAAGCTGAATTAAGGTTGAGGCAAATACTTGATCTGTGAGACAAATCACGATAGTATTCGGTGACTGTGTTCAATAAATGTTTTGTCATTCTATCACTGACCAAGTTTGTTTTCACAGCACAG